ACTGGTCTGGGGAGGGAGGATCAGCTGTGAACGGGGGCATCGCAGCCACTGCTTTTTAAATCTACGTATGGGTTAGGGCAGCCTAGACGTGAGGGCCTGTAGGAAGATAACTAATACACATGGCACGCCTGGCGAACCTTAGGGGTGGTGGGAGCTATCAGGAGAAGACAGGTGGCCTGGCCCTTTGGGGAATTTCCCAGTTTGAACCTTGGGTATCTCTGCTGAGGGGAAAGGGGCCCTTTCCCTTGTAGCCTTGCATGAGCAAACACCAGTGAGAGGCCCCGCTTTTCAGGGAGCCACAGCATCATCTCCCCAGGTGGCACCTTCGTCAAGAGTGGGCAGCCCCCAAGGCTCCCTCCCATCTCCTCTCTTGGCATCCTGGATGCACCGTTCAGCACATGGCATCTCCCTGCCTGGATGGGGGCAGCCCCTTGGGGGTCTCTTCTGCCTTGGCACCCTAGCACCTGGTACACAGGAAATCCTCCCCTGGCACTTACTGACAGATGGCTTCTCTAAGGCAAACAGTTCATTCCCACCCGTCAGCCAATGGCAGAGCCCATGAAGCTCTGGCCTCCCAAGGAGGTCTGAAGAAGTCATTTCTGTTTAAAACAGGAAAAGGCCCCTGACTATTTATGAACCAATGACAAATGAACGAGTGTGAGGGCTCAGGCACTAGGGATGGTTCGCCCCTCCTGTGGTAGCCTGGCAGCCTCACCACGTGGGTGCTGGGCTCTTAACTGGCCCTCTGGCCCCTCAGAAGGCTCCAATTGGACGCCTCTCCCACCAAGGAGGAGCTAGTCCAGAATAAGGTGAGCCCTGGGCACTGCAGAGCTCTTCCTTTCCTGGGACTCCCATCCTACCTGTGGTATCAACATTCACGGTGGGACACTCCCCTAATCTATGTCTTTTAGTGTAAATGTGAGGGTGAATTTTACAAGAGAATCTTAGACACTGGGAGGTGTGGACGGTTCTTCCGAGAAAGGCAATGACCAGGCTCATCCCTCTTGCCAAGCTGCTTTCACCTGCTGTTCCGACTACATGGAGCAAGGCAGTAAAAATGGAGGAAGTCTCGAGGAATGTTCCGGTCTCTGCCTTCTTCTGTGGCCTTGTCCGTTCACTCCCAGGAGAGGTCCTGAGAGCCTCCTCCAGAGGGCCTGCCCACCGTCTGCACCAGCAGGCTCCGGGGGGAAGGCTCATTTCTCGTAGAACAAACCGTGAGGAGCCTCACACACTTCCAAGACGGCTTGCCCGTCAGCAAGATAGAGAGGGAGCTCATTTCTGACAAGAAGTCTGACGGAACAAAGAGGGCGGCCGACAAGGTTTCTTCAAGAGCCCAACCTGGATTTATCTGGCGAAAATCTCAGCTCTGCTCCTCATGACCTGCTTGCCCGCCCTGGGGCAGATCACTCCCCAGTGGGCCGGATACCATGACCACATCCAATGAGGCGGCTGCAGACAGAGCGCTGGGCCTGGGGTCACAGAGGTCTGAGTTCAGATCCTGCCTCACGTTTACTAGCTGTGTGTCCTGTCACCTCCACATGCCTCAGTTTCCTCACCTGTAAAATGGGAATGAAACCAGCATCTATCTCCTATGGCTGTTGTCGGAATCAAAGGACATGCTATTCATGAAGTGCTTAGCACAGCGTTTGGTACACAGCAGGGGCTTAAAATGCTTGTTCCCTCCCTCCCTCCTCCCCTTCTGTGGCCCCTTCCAGTCTGAATCTGAGCCTAGGAGTGATGAAAAGAAACCCTAGATATTTAGAATGAAGTGGAGGGTTTGCACGTGAACTTTTCACATGGGACAATCTTTATCATCACACCAGCAGATCTAGCCAGAACAGCGAGGAGCCTGGCTACAGCATTCTGGCTAGGGATTCCACGGATGTTGGGGCCCTCCCCCTCCGCTCCAACTGCTCGCCAAGCTTGCTGCCCAGAGGCTGTGACCCATCCAGGGCCCCTGAGCCAACAGGCGTCAGAGGCGGGCCTGCCCGGGAGGCTGGCTCCCTCTCCCCTGTGTCTGCGGCCTGGTTCTCAGGAGCTCCCAAAGGCCTTCTGGCCCACATGCCCTGCGAGGCAGGAAGGGCCAATGTTACTTCCGTTTTACAGAGGGGGGAAACGGGCTCGGAGAAGGGAGTCACTTGTGCGTGGTCACCCAGTGAATGCGCGGAGCACTTGAAGCCTGGGCCTGGCTCTCCCCTCTCCACCACACCCCTTCTGCTACCCGGTGCTCCCATTCAGTCACGGCCTACGGGCTTCTCCGGACGACTGGCTCTGTTCATCCCGACCCAGCCCCCAGCATGTGACTCCAAAGCACTCACTATCTGAACCCTGAAGTCCCTCCTGAGAACCATTAAGGAGCCCCAATTCTGGCCGGATCACAAAGCTGGGCTGGGGCCACCTCCCCTCTCCAGCCCACCCTGGCCCAGCTCCCCTGGAGCCGGAGGTCCGGTTCGGTGCTCCGCCCGTTGTCTCTCCCAGGCCATTAACCCAGAGTCTGATCCAGACAGAAACGAGCGCCTCCCTGAGCAGTACTGGTGGATACCAAGGACACATACGCTCCGGGATGTGCGCAAACCAGGTCAGTGGTTGTGCTATGACTCCATGAGGCCCCAAGGTTGGCTTGAGCTCCCTTGAGTCCCAGGGCCCTTCTTTTCCTTCCTTAAAGTGGTCTTTCCACACTTTCCCTTCTTAAATAGCCGGCAGGAGCATTTCGAGCCCTGCCCAACTCCTAAGACCCTGCAGGTTTCAGGGCAAATGCTGCTGAGATGAGCCTTTGGGCCTCTGTCTCTTCCTCCATCAGCAGAGGGGCTGGGGGAGATGGTGTCTGAGGGCCACCGTCCCAGGACGCAGAAAGCATCCATCAGCTCTCCTTCCCTAGTCTGACAGGCCTTTCCCATAACGCTGATACCCTGATTACATAATCAGTGTTGATTTTGGGTAAAGACGGTGGTCTTTAATAGCCAGAAAATGGGACACGATGGAAACAGTAAATCCTGAAGGCGCTGGGCTCACAACCTAACTTCTGTTAGTCTTCCATTTCATGGGACGTCACTGCTAGGTAAGCGCCCGTGTCCGAGGAGCTTGGTCACCGGCTGGACTCAGGCTTGGTGATTAAGATCGGACTCCGAGGGCAAGGGGGAGCAGAGCTGGCCTGGTTTGGAGTCAAAGAACTTGACGAGCCTCAGTTTCCCCATCAGTCAACTGAGGTGCCGGCTCCTTCCAGCTCACTCCAGCTCAGGGGCTCTTCACCTTCTGTGTGTCCTGGAGCCCCTGGACCATCTGCTCTGCTCAGGGGAAGGTTTCTGAATCATCGAAGGCCTTCAATCACGTCCTGGGCACGCTCGGTCCCCAGGGTAAGAACCACTGAGCAGCAGTCTGAGCTGGGGGTCCAGAGCAATTAGACAATGTGAGTCTTAAGTCCCAGCCCCAGCCTCAGTTTCCTCAAGATAACAGTGAATTGAGCAAAGCCTCCTTGAAGGTGTGGTAGGACCCCAGGCTGACTGCGGGCATTAGTCTGCACAGCCCAGGGTGCTGCGAAGGACCTCGGAGGCCCTGGGGACCAAACCCCTCATTTTAGAGGGGAGCAGACACTGGGACACCCACCCAGCATCTGAGGTAGGCCCTACCGACCTCCTGGCTGGACGTGGAGCCAGCGAGATTATTATCTACACAAAGGCCACATCTCGGAGCGTTTGGTGAGAGATGGCACCCCTCTAATCAGGCCGGGGCGGGGGGCGACCCCAAGGCATCCAGGGGACAGACGCTGCCAATGGCAGAAGTCTGGGCAGGAAGAAGTCCCTTCCCACCGGGCAAAGCCTGCCCTCAATGCCCCAGCACAGCTGAGAGGCGGCCTCTGTGCGAAGGCTGCGAAGGCCCCTCTGCCTCTCTGGGATCTCCACTTTGGCTTGTGACAGCTTGTTTGTACATTGGGTTGTCTGATTCCTCCCCGTTAGACTGGCAGCTCCCCCAAGGCAGGAGCTGTCTTCTGCCTTCTTCTGTATCCCCAGAGCCCTAAGTGCGCACAGTGCCTGGCACGCAGTAGGTGCTTACTGAACACTGATGGAGACCTGAGGCAGGGCTAATCTGCAATCATCAGACTAATGCTGCAACCGCAGGCCTCAGTCTCCCTCCCTGGCCCAGATGATTCTGCAGACCCTTCCGAGCTCTGATACGCTTTGATCTCCGGCTTCTTCCAGCTCTAATTTTCCAGGATTCTTTAAGATTCACTTTAGAAAGAAGGACCTGGGGACACTCGGCAGAGAGGAAAGACGCTCTGGGGAGAGGGACGTGATTCCTGTCTTCAAACATCTGAGGAGCCATCTCACCTAGAGCAGGAATTAGCCTTGGTCTGCTGAGTGCTGGAAGGCGGAAGCGAAAGGGATGCAGACTGGTATAAAAAAGGAAGAACCTTCCGACAATCAGAGTTACCCAAGGGCAGTCAGTGACTGCCCCACCAGGTAGTGAGCTCCCCATTACCAGAGGTCTTCAAGCAGAAGACGTGTTGGGCAATTAGAAGAAGATTCAGGCAGCGATGAGCCTCAGTGGTCTCGAATTCTATGAGACTCTACTTTTCTTTTCTTTTTTAAATAATATTTTATTTTTTCTCCAATTACATATTAAAAGGATTTTAAATGTTTTTTAAGTTCTGAGCTTCTAACTTTATCCACTTCCCCGACCCAAGACGGTAAGAAATCTGATATGTTACACATGTGCACTCACGTAAACCGTTTCTGGAGTGATCATTTCATACAAGAAAACTCAAACCACGAAAAGAAAGAAAGAAGGTGAGAAACAGCAGTCTTGAAAAGACTACTTTTCTAAAGGCCTGGCTTGGTAACACACCCGGGGAGACGACGGGGAGCTCCCTACAAAGGCTCCATGGTAGGAAGGGCCCCGGTTACCCCTGACCCGCCCGGGAAGGTCCCCCTGGGCCACACCAGAGATGGAAAACGAGACACGGAAAGGGACACGCTGTCTCCTTGCGTCTCTAGACGACTCACCTACAGCCCACATGACTGTGTCAAAGACGCCCGTCTCTTCTCTGCCCACCTCGTGGTTGTGCCAGGTGACCTGCAGGCGCTGGTCCTCGAATTTTTCCAATTTTCTCATCGTGCAATACTTCAAAAACTTGGTGCCATGCGATTCCATGTAGTCGGTCACTAGCAGGGCCATTTGCTGCAAAGTAAAAACCACAAACGTCGACAGGGGAAGATGCCCATCCAGCAGCGTGCACGTGCCACCTCGCAGAGTGGGGCCTGCACCATGGCAGGAAGTGAGGGAAGTGCGCAGGCTCTGAGGGCCAACTGTACACGAACAGGAAAGCTGACAAAACAGTCTTGTCTTGTTCCCTATTGGGTGCTGAGGCCGCCACAGGCTCTGTGTGCCCCAAGAGGGTCCTGCCAGCTGGCGGTTACGGGGCCTGAGCCTCCTGGGCTCCCAACAGTCGAGAGGGGCCTGACTTGGCTGGGCGCTGGGGGAGCGCCCGGGAATACCTCCCTGGGGACAGAAATCCAGGTGAACGGCAGAACGGGCCAGAGGGAGGCATGGAGCGCCAGCCACCATGGGGCCCTAGCTAAGGTGAGGGTGGGCACTGACGCAAACTCCCCACCTTCACTCCCCCGGGCCACCGCGTGTGAGCCCTGTGGGTCTTATCTTGGCGTTTGGACTCCTGGTCTTTATGTAGTTTCCTCCCCTGAGCCTGCTGGCTTCCTGAGGGCTCTGAGGGAGGTGAGGGAGAAAGGACCCGGAGAGCCAGAGAGCCTGGGATCGCAGCAGGCTCTGCCAGTTACTAGCCAGAGGACCTCAGACAATTCCCTTCCCTGCCCTGAGCCTCAGTTTCTCTATCTGTAAACAAGCGGGCTGGGCCTCCAGGAAGTTACGGCCTCTCCCTTGTGGCTCTAGCCTTTGGGTGTGCTGGCTCTGTTGGTGATGGGTGGGTACTGTCATCAACTTTGACGTGCCTTGGCTGAGGGCTCTGGCCTGGGCTCTCTTTTGAAGCCAACCCAAGAGTCATGAGTCCTCCGGAAAGCCTGAGACAGCAGCAGGAATGGTAGGAATCTGTCCTCTGACTTCTCGTACGCACGTGCGCACACACACACGTGTGCAGATACACATGCAAGCCTGGCTGTCCACAAAGGGAAGTGGCAGCCGGCCCCGACCTAGTGACTCCAGCGGGAAGGATGGAGGACATGCTCCTTCCTTGGGCTCAGGACACTGCGCAGGCCAAGAGGAGAGGGCCTCACCATCCAGCACAGGAACCTGGCCTCGGGGGTTCCTGTCCCACAACTTTTCCCTCTGGGTTTGAGAAAACAAGCCAATGTCTCCACTCAGCCTCATGTAAAACCTGGGACTATGAGAATTCACTCCTTACAGAATTCAGGAAACCTACCAGCCATAAGCAGCAACCATCAGCTTACCCAAGAAAGTGACAAAACCCCCCTCCAACACCCCTGCCCCACTCAATGACAAAACGACCGCACGAGAATGGAGATGGAAGGCTTGGGGGAGCCAAGGACGATCTCCAGCTTCTTAAATAAGTCCTGAGAACCTGGGGTGGCCGAGGTTAAAAACTTGTCCTTCACAGGCCCCGCAGGCATTCCATCAAACAGCACATCTTGGAGAGGCCAACGGCCCGACAAAGGTAATGGTGCTTTGGGATGCTTAAGTGGACAGAATGTGAGGCGTGGAGTCGGGAAGACCTGAGTTCAAATCCTGCCTCAGAGACTTACTAGCTGGGTGACCCTGGACAAGTCACTTCCATTCTGCCTGCCTCGGTTTCCTCACTTGTGATATGAGACAAATGGTATGGAGCTCCTCGGATTGCTGTGAGGATCTCCTGAGCTAACGCATAAAGGGCTTTGCCAATCAAGGTACTGCAGAAGTGTGTGCTGTTATGATGAAGACTTAGCGGGCTTCCATCATGAAAGCCTCTGCCCTCATCTGCCCACTGCTTGGACTGCTCTAAGATTCCCTCAAAAAAAGGGATCGATCACAGCCATAAATGATCACCTTGCTCCGAGTGGAGCAGTGGAGAGAGCCTTGGAGTGGGAGTCAGAAGGACTTGGGTTCACATCCTGACTCTTGTGTGACCACTTGCCCTCTCTGGCCTCTGCTGACCTCCGAGGCCTTTCCAGCTCGAAATCACAGACCCAGAGACCATGACGAGCTAGAAAAGGCCTCAGAGATCACTTGGGAGGAGACAGCAAGGTTCTGGGGGGCTTCAGAGCACCCCAGGGAGGGGTGCTGCTCTCCCTCGAGCTCTCAGGTGGAGGTGGGCGGCTGCTGGGAGGGGAAAAGGGGTCAACCCTCGGGCAAGGCTGAAACCCCCATTCTCCTGTGGGTATGTGGGTGTGGAACAGGGAAAAGGGCAGGCTATCGAGAGGGCTCCAGTGCTGGTCTGACGCTCGACGCCTGTGTGGCCCTGGACAAGCCGCCTCTTCTCGCTGGCCTCAGTTTCCTCATCAGTAACAAGAAGGGGCTGAGCCAGATGTCAGCCCCTTCCAGCTCTAGACCCTCATTTCCGCATGCCTGCCGGTAGCTTTCTACCATGGCCTCCTTCACGAACACCCTTGGTGATGGACGCTTCCTCTTGGCTTGGAAGGGGACCCTGGGCTCTGATGGCTCTGTTCAGACAACACTACCTCTGATCAGACTGACTCCAAGTACGGGCCCAGGGATGAAAGACCGACAGAAGGCTGGTCCGAGGGTCCCGTCCCTTCCAGGGCTGCAGGACGATGAAAGTTCAACTACAGACCCTCCACTGAGGCCCTGAGGGGCCGGGACATATGCTGGGGGTGGTCGGGGATAGGGGAGGAGAGGGATCCCCGTGCAGAGACCTGGGGATTTAAAGAGCCACAGAATCCATGGCCCTGCAGGGCACGTGGATGAACTATGGGGCTCACAGGGCCAAGAGGACAGTCGAGGCAAAGGGGATGGAATTGGACAGGATGCTTCACTGAGTGGGGGGATGGGGGAACGGTCACTGACTCGGTAACAACGTCCCACAAGACTCATCTCTCGGGGCCTCTGAGGACCCTTCCAGCTGTGATGCTCACAAAGCGGAAGGGGCTCTCCCTCACTGGACGTCTTCAGGCACAAGCCAGAGACCCCGGGGGGACCTCGCTGGGGAAGCCGTCACGAGGGATACCGTTTATGCTGTGAGACTCCCCTATTTCTGTGCTTCTCCAACACTGATGGTGAGGCGTCATCACCATCATGCTCAAAAGGCAACACTGAGAAATGAGAGATGTGGCCTGGCGGTTAGCGCCGGGCTCAGGGTCCTGGCTCCGGGAGCCTGCACGGATGACATCATCTCTCAGAGTCTCGTAGGAGAGAAGATGCCCTTCCCCAGGAAGCCCGTGCCAATGGAATCCCCATTTCTGTCCCTATACTCTGCCCACAGGGAATAAGAGACAAAGATGCCAGCCGCTGACCCTCGCCCACGGCCGGACGGCCTTCCGCCTGCACCGCGGGCGCCGCAACTGGTCCTTGACTGTTCCCCCTTCAGACTGGGAGCCCGTTGAGGGCAAGGCCCATCTTCTGCCCTTCTCTGGATCCCCAGGGCTTTGCACAGGGCCTGGCACCACAGGAAGTGCCTCGGAAAGGCAGCTTTACTGATGGACGGACAGATTTTTAATAGAAAAATTTCTTTTGAAGAGTTTTGGGTTTTTTAAAAAGTAGATTCTTTACCCAGGCTAATTAGCCCAAGCTTCCTGTTGTCAGACCACCTGGCAGGTGTTTTTGCTGGAGATGCCAGGAATACTTTGCTACAGAAGCACATCCACAGTGAAGCCGCGGCCTGTCAGGGCCTCCACGTTCTTCTGATGGGTCCGGTCAGAGATGCCCTGCTCTCGAAAAGCATGCTTCCTGCTCCCAGATGGGCTCTCTGCACCAAGCCAACCACACAGACTAAGGATGGGCGTTCTTGGCTCGTCAGCCCACGATGGGGGGCTGGCATTGCTGTAAAGCATATTTCAGGACGAGCCCTCTCTGAAATCGGATCTAGGGCTCCTCCCAGCCCAACTCCCAACCTGGTTTTCTTGTCCTCCCAGGTTCAGCAGCCACCCTGAAGGCAGACCCATAGGTCCTGGGGTCTGGGGGGTGGAAGGCCCCCAAGTACCACGTCCCCTCAAATGTTGCCCGGCTCAGGGTACAGGGCTCAGGCAGGAGCCTGGGGCCTGGCTTTTTGGCCCTGGCAGGCAGGAGCACGGGGGCTTTGGGTTGGGAAGACAGCACTGAGGCAGTGCCCAGTCACTCAGAGAGAATTCTGCATAAATGAAATACGCAGAAAAGGAAGCTACTCCAGAGAATGACTTCTGCTCTCCTGACATCACCCCTCCTTCTGTGACCACGAGTCACTGAGTAAGGCAACAAGCAGTTTTTAGCATCTACTCTGTGCCAAGCACCTGGATCCCTGATGTACATAAAGAGAGGCAAAAACACAGCTCCTTGCCCCCAAATACTCTCCCTTATATTCTAATGAGGGAGAAAGTCACATTCCATGAACCTCCAAAGGACACTGGCTTAACTGCCCTGAAGCACTGGTTAAAACTCACTGCAATCCTGCTCACTGCAAGCCTGGGGAGGATTTCAAGTGTCCTTAAAAGTCTCCTAAAGCTGTGAACTGGTCCACTCATCCTGGAGAGCAATTTGGAACTCTGCCCAAAGGGCCATCCAACCATGCGTACCTTTGGCCCAACAGTACTACTGCCAGGTCTGTACCCCAAAGAGATCAAAGAAAGGAAAAGGAGCTCTGTGTACAAAAATATCTACAGCAGCTCTTTTTGGAGTGCCAAGGACTGGAAATTGAGGAGATGCCTATGAACTGTGGAGTGGCTGAATGAGTTGTGCGTGGTACGTGACCGTAATAGAATATTGTTGTGCTATAAAAAATGTTAAGGGGATGGTTTCAGAAAGACCTAGGAAGACTTACATGAACTTTTGCAAAGTGAAGTGAGCAGAACCAGGAGACCACTGTACACAGTGTCGAGGATCAACTGTGAAAGATCTGGCTGCTCTGACCAAGACAATGGTGCAGGACAATTCCACAGGACCTTTGATTGGAAACATGCTACCCCCCTCTGGAGGGAGAGATGCTGGGCTCGGGGTGCAAAATGGCCTCGGAATCAGGAGGACTTGAGTTCAAATCTGGCCTCAGATGGCATGATACTCACTGTCTGTGTAACCCTGGGCAAGTCATTTAACCCCAACTGCCTTGCTAAGAAAAAAAAAACAAAAAACAAAAAAGGACCATCTGTTTTTCCCTTTCTGTATTTTTCTCGCTTTTCTTTGGCCACATGGCTAATGTGAAAATAGGTTTTGCATGATTTCACATGTTTACTGGGCATCATATTTCTTGCCCTCTCAATGGGTGGGACAGGGGTTGGGCGAGTGAGAGATACGGAATGGAAAATAGAAATGTAAAAGAAAAGCCAAGTATCCTGAGATCTGCTGGCATTGTGGGGATATCCATTCCTCCCCCACTCCTTGTTTGTCTGTTTTACGTTTTTTTAAATCTCTCTTGCAAGGTATGGCACACAGCAGGTGCTTCACAAATGCTATAGCCCATGGCTTCCCCCACTTCGTTTGCCCGGCCCTGTTAGCTACGGGCCTTGATCTCTCCTCTTGATGGCCATACGCCTTTGGAACATCATCTACCTCAGCTGCCTCCCCCTTCACTCCGTCTCTCTTCCTGGCTTCTGACCTTATCATTTCCCCGAAACTGCTCTCTCCAAAGTGACCGATGATTGTTTTAGCTGCCAAATCCAGCGGCCTCTCTGCAGCCTTGGGCACTGTCCATCATGCCTCTTCCTGGATCTTCTCTCCTCTCTGAGAGTTCGAGACACTGTCTCCTCCGGTTCTCCTCCTCTCTCCCTGACCTTGGCTCCTTCTCTGTCTCCTCCTCCAGGTCATGCCCTCTCTTTGTAGGTATCCCTCAGGGCTCTGTCCTGAGCCCCCTTTTCTTCTCCCTCTGTGCTACTTTGCTGGGTGATCTCATCAGCTGCCCCGGGTTTAATTCCCATCTCTCTGCTGACGATTCAGAGCTCTCTCTCAAATCTAGTTGGATTTGGACCACTACAGTCACACGTCACAAATAACCTTGTGGACGTGTCAACTTCAATGTCCCAGAGGCCTCTCCAGCTCAACATGGCTGAAACAGAACTCCTCATCCTTCCTTCCACCCCCGACCCGCCTGTCTTCCCTTCTTCCCTCACTGAGAGAAGACGCCACTAATCTGGCCTCCCGGATTCACAACCTTGACACACTCACACTCATCCCACATACATCATTTTCTCAGGTGCATCCTCTCATCTCCTCTCTTGCAGGCCCCACCCATCACCCCACCCCTGGACTATCATTAGGGCCCTCTGGGAACTAGGGTCTCCCTGCCTCGGGCCTCTCCCCGCTCCAGGCCACCCTTTACTGGCTGTTACACTGATCTTGCTACAAAGCAGGTCTGACCACATCATTTCCCGTTACCTCTGGGACCATCTAAAGCCCCTCATGACCCGAGCCCTCCTACCTGCCTGGGAGGTAGGAAGCCTGCTCCCCGTGTGTGCCTGTCCCAGGCTGTCCTTTCTCCCTCTCCCTCCTCCTCTCTGCCTCCTACAAATGGCCTGTCCTAGCCCCCATCAGAGCCTGCCCTCTGATTTCCTCCCCCATTAGACTGGAAGCACCGGGAGGGCAGGGCAGCTTTCGCCTTTCTTGGGACCCTGGTGCAGAGCACAGGGCGCGGCGCCTCACTGGCACGTAATCAATGCCGATGGACTGGATGGCTGCCCTTCTGGCCTGTCTGCGGCTGGCTGTGGTGCCCTCTCCTCAGCACCCATTTTCTAGGCCCCAGTCAGCCCCTCATGGGCAGCTGGGAGCCAGAGGACCTGGCGGTATACTCAGCTCTGCCAGTCACCACCTCCCCATCATAAGCCTCGGTTTCCCCTGTGTGGTCAGGGTGCTCTGGTCCTGGCATTCCCTACTACATGGGCCGGCTATGGGGACAGACCTGGGCTGTAAAAACCCGTGTGCCTCTACACCGTGCCAGGCCACAGATAGGTCACACTCCCCCGACCCGGCTGGTGGAGAAGCCGAGGCTGCCTTCAAATTGCACTCATTTTTCCAGGGTTTGCCTCTTTCCTTCTTTTCAAAGTGAAATCAGCCTAAGGGGGCACGGCCCATGTCCACAATAACACCACGCGCTCACACGGACACTCACCTACACAGGGTCACACAGTCAAGATCTCAGGCCAGGAGGGACCCTGGCAGCCAAAGAGTCTGATCCCCTCACTTTACAGGGGAGGAAACTGAGGCCCAGAGATGAGGACTTACTAAAGGACACGCAGGTGGGAGTGTCTGAGGCAGGATTTGAACTCAGTGCTTCCTGCCTCCACCCACTGGATGACATGCATGACATTGTTTCTCTAATTACAACCTCATCAGTCACGGAGCCAACCCTGCCTGAGACAGGAACCCCTAAGCACGACTCTGCCAGCACTGGTCAAAACCCCACGTTTCCTCAGACACGGTTTGGTGGCATCCCCAGGGACAGCCACGGCTGCCCGTGCCCCCACATGCCACGCCTCTCCTGGGTCTCAAGGGGATGGCCACGGCTGCCTGCGCCCCCACATGCCACACCTCTCCTGGGTCTCAAGGGGATGGCCACGGCTGCCTGCGCCCCCACATGCCACACCTCTCCTGGGTTCCACAGGGACAGCCATAGCTGCCCGCACCCCCTATGCCACACCTCTCCTGGGTCACATGGGGATGGCCACAGCTGCCCGCACACCCCATGCCACACCTCTCCTGGGTTCCACAGGGACAGCCATAGCTGCCCGCACCCCCTACGCCACGCCTCTCCTGGGTCTCAAGGGGATGGCCACGGCTGCCTGTGCCCCCCATGCCACGCCTCTCCTGGGTCACATGGGGATGGCCACAGCTGCCCACACCCCCACGCCACGCCTCTCCTGGGTCTCAAGGGGATAGCCACGGCTGCCTGCGCCCCCACATGCCACACCTCTCCTGGGTTCCACAGGGACAGCCATAGCTGCCCGCACCCCCTACGCCACACCTCTCCTGGGTCTCAAGGGGATGGCCACAGCTGCCCGCACCCCCCATGCCATGCCTCTCCTGGGTCTCAAGGGGATGGCCACAGCTGCCCGCACCCCCTACGCCACGCCTCTCCTGGGTCTCAAGGGGATGGCCACAGCTGCCCACACCCCCCACGCCATGCCTCTCCTGGGTCTCAAGGGGATGGCCACGGCTGCCCGCATCCCCCATGCCACACTTCTCCTGGGTTGCACAGGGATGGCCACGGCTGCCCGCACCCCCCACGCCATGCCTCTCCTGGGTCGCACTGGTGATCTGGATCCCATGGTAAGGGGGCCTCCCATTTAATTGGGGGTCAAGTTTCCAGAAGTGGGCAGCAGATGAGAAGCCGGGGGAAGGATCCCGAGCTCTCCCAGGTGCCCGCTGCCCACCAGGAAGCCCAGCAGTGCCGGGCAACAGTGAATCACAAGCACACCAACATCTACCTGGTCAAAGCCCCGCAGTGGGATACTTCTCATCATGACTGTGGTGTCCAGGCCAAAGCCCGTGAGGAATCCCGCGCACTCCAAGGACACATCTGGGAAGGAAGCGACTCAAGGAAAGAACCGTGGCATCCAGAGATCGGGGAGGGAAACGATAACAACAGCTGGTGGTGACGCAGCGCTGAGGTCTGCACAGCACAGTGGACACGATCATCTTTGAGCCTCACAAGTACAGCCCTGGGACGCAGGGGCTACTGTTACTCCCGTTTTACAGATGAGGTAACTGAGGTGGAGAGGGGTAAAGAGACCTGCCAGGGTCAGAGAGTAAGTTGCGCATCTGAGGCGGGATTTGAACTCAGACCTTTCTGGCTCCAGGCTCAGCACTGTGCATCACCTCCCTGCCAGCCCAAAGTGCCATCCCATAGAGTCACAGCCTGTCAGGCCTAGAAGCCCCTTAGTAACCCTCTGACAAGCAGCCAGCCGGGCTCCATGGGATGCCTGCTGGGGTGGGGCCTTCTGTTCTGCTCTGGGACAGCACCTTTGGTCCTTTCCAACAGCCCACTCCCTTTCTGCAATCCGTGGGCCCCACTCTGCGGGCTGCCCCTTGTCCTGAAAGGAGGCTGGTCATCAGAGGCCAGGGGCTGCTTCTATGGGCCTGTGGCAAAGGCCCTTCCCTGGAGCTCTCCAGGGGAATGAGCGCTCTGCTGGGCTCTGAGGCATCTGGTAACGCTCACTGTAACGCAAGGCCTTCCTTCCATTTCACCTAAATCCTTTCTGCTGAAATGTAAGCCCAAGCTCTTTGTGGATGCCCTTCAAGGAGACGGAGTCCAGCTGTCAGGGCCTCTGAGGAGACACAGCTCCTCATCTATTTAAGGCATCATTAACTAAGCCCCCTCCCCAGCTCTCCCCCTGCTCAAGGGGGAGTGCTCAAGGCACTCACGCTTCCCTCCCGGCTTCTAACTGACCCACGCCAGTGTTTGGGGGCTCCTCCTGGCCTGTGTGGCAGATCTGAACTCAGGGCAACTGGGTGAGAGCCCCAGAGCTGCCTCTCGCTGCCTGGGTGACCCCAGGCAAGGCCTTCCTCCTCCGTGGGCATCTGTAAACCAGGAGGCATGGCCGCGATGACCTGCCAGGACCCTTCCAGCCCTAAATCTCTGCTTCCGGGGCTGGGCACAGACCCTCAAGAAGAGCCAGGGGGAGGGGATTGTCTCTAATTCTGACTTCTGTGGGAGGATCAGAGGGTCACGCTCCAGGCCCTCCCAACATGTAGCAGACAGCCCAAGACACACTCATTCTTTTCCCTGACACGCCCAAACTGCTGGGTGCCTGAACACAGGGCTGGGGGCATGGAACCCCCTCCCCAGGTCAGTGAGACTATATCCCCTGCGATGGGAAACACAAGCATGAAGGACCATCTGGAAGAGAGAGAGCAAGGTTTCTACCCAGACCACACATACACTTGCCATGGGCGTGCACATATACACAACACACACACACATACAGCCTCTCCCCCACACGGAGCACACACACACACCCTGCCACGCACACATATACACACAACACATGCATGCATACTAGGCATACACACAATACACAGCACACAATGCACATCCACACACACGCACACGTGCTCACATCCCCACGTACACACACATATACAACACACACACATATACAGCCTCCCCCCCCTTACAGAGCACACACACACCCTGCCACGCACACATACACACACAATACATGCATGTATACTAGGTATACACACAATACACAGAGCACACATCCCCATGTATGCACACACAGCACACACACGCCTGTACACACATACACACCGGCAGCAAAAATGGCAATTATCATCATAAACCGTCCCCACGTCTGCTAAAGGATACAGCTGGCTCCGACCACCAACCTGTAAAGAAAATGAACAAAAACAGACGACTTAAATGTTGTCCTCCATACTTCCACCTCGCCAAAGCCCGTCCAGCATTCTCCCGCAGGTGGTGACTCTCGGGATGGAAAGAGAGAGGAGCGTGCAGCTCGGGCTTTGCTGTGGCCTCTCTGTCAGGGATGGTCCCCAGCCCTGGGGCTCGCCCTCCCTCAGGGCCTAGTCTGGCGGGCGTAGGAAGAACGCCTCATGGGCCGCTGCTTGGCTGGTGGCCAAGCTTCTGGTAAGGAGTCTGTCCACACACGGCCTGGCTGGGCTTCAGACAGAAGCCAGCCCCATGCCGGAAGGTCTCCTGGCCCAGCGGGCCCAATCTTTGAGAAACAACGTCCCCTCCACCACGGAGGGAGGATCAGGAGAGGCCTTTGCTTGATCCACAGAAATCTGTCTGTGGACCCTGAAAACAAGATGATGCCTCCGGGCGTCTGAAGAGACCCCAGCCAGGCCTGTGCTGTGGCCTCACTGCTGGACCCAGGGCTCCTCGAGGGCAGGAAGTGGGCATCTCCCCACCAAGTACCCTGTGGGCCTTTAATCAAGGTTTGGGGATGGATAAGCAGTGTCATGAGTAACATCAGCATTTGGTTCCCTCACATGTCAAGGAAAACTCACTTAGGGAAAGTAAGAAAGATCAATTGGGCCGTGGGGTCATTTCCAGCTTCACTGCCAGGGTTCTGGGGGAAGGCAGGATGGCATGCCTTTAAAGTGAGAAGGACCACGGATGGAGGCTGGAAGGGACCTCAGCGGCCTCTGTTATGGGTGGGGACCTACTGCCCAGAGAGGGGAAGGGGCTTCCATAGGACACACAGCAGGGACCACAGACAGAGGGCCGGAAGGGGCCTCAGCGGCCTCAGGGGAAGGGGCTTCCCCAGGACACATGGCGGGGACCACCGATGGAGGGCCAGAAGGGGCCTCAGCAGCTGTCCAGTCCAGCGTTCTCATTTTATGGCGAGGGGTCTGAGGCCCAGGGCAGTCAATGGACTTGCCCAAGCTGTACGTGTGTGGAAGTGATAGAGCCAGGACCTGAACCCAGGGCCTCACACTCCAAATCCAAGGCTCTTTCCACTGAGGCACACTAGTGGGGGGGGGAGGGAAGCCTTGCCCCATTATTACAATTGTTATCAGGACCCACAAGACATCTCCATTTCCCATATGGGCCACAGATGGAAGGAGAAAATGGCCCCAATAAAGCCTCTGCTTGGGCTCAAATATTTTGTTATTTTGGAAGGCCTGAAGCAAAAACCAAGTGGGTGGAAAAGAGTTCGCTTTCTGGGAGGCAGCGGGGGAGGAAAGCCATTTTAATTCAAAGACACAAGTGCCAAGAAACTAAGACAACCAACATGGTAAACCCAGGCCCACTAAATAACTTTAAATATTTGTTTTAATCGTCTAAATCCCCTGCTGTTCTCGAGCGGCAAACCTGCGCTGCCACTGGGCAAACGTCGATGGCTCCACAGCAAGGCACATTCAAAGACGGTGGCAGATGTGGGTGGGCCAGCGCCGGGGCTCCCTGGCCCTTTGAACAGGAGGAGGTGATGTCAGAACGGATAAGGGGATGGCAGCGCTAATCCTCACAGCTACTAACAATGTAATTCCCCTTCAAAAAGGGCTCTATCCCTTGGAATCACTCTGGAGGCACCAGCGGGAAGTGACGGGTGTTCAGCCCCTTCGCCAGAGTGGAGCCCGGACAGAGATGTGGGGCGAAGGCCCTGGCCCCGCCTGCCGCTGTCCAGCAACTGGACTGCTGGCTGGGCTTTGGACGACAGGAAGGGGGACGAGGGATGCCCCAGGCCTGAGGAGGCGGGGCAGACGGCGTGCACAAAATAACTGCACAGGATCTCACCTCTTTGAAAACCACGACCCTTTGGTAAGGTCAGCCTGGCCTCCTCTTGGAAACCAACTCCACTAAAGGCACCAGTATGCTGAGGAACCCGGCACTGATCAACAACGTGTCAATCCAGTCAGCTTTTATTAAGCACTCACTATGTGCTGGCACCACATGGAGGCAGAAGACAGACTAGCCCTCGCCCTTAGGGAGCTTATGTTCTAAGGGGAGGGGAGGCAGGAGAAGCCCAGGCATGGCTGGGCCTTTGTCTGGGCTCCCAGTACACATTATAGGACAGGACCGTAGCGCCCTCTCAGAAAAAAGCTTCCCACAAGCACAGACGACTTTTCATTTTGTCTCTGCATCCCTTCTCTGGCATACTGCTGGGGCTTAATACGTGTGTTGGGGTCGGCCCTGGCAGATTGGCACACACCAAGACCAACGAGGAACCTACTAGGCGGGGGAAGGCTGGCTAGACTGCCCTGGAGAAACAGGGAAGGCCTAGGAGGGTGCCACGCTGCTCACTCCCGCACAAACCCCTCATCAGAGGCCCCTCTCTTCCCCACGGTGCCAGAGGGACTCCTGGGACTGCCCAGGGAACTTGGGGGCATGCACTGAGAAGGCCGCAGAGGATGGATGTGAAAGCGGAGGCCGGCCCCGAGGGGCCCTGTCAGCAGAGGTGGCCGAGGATGGCGACGGGCCACAGAGAGGACGGCTCCCTGGGGAGGAGAGAAGGCTGCCGGGAAGAGCGGAGCCCGGCTGTGAGGGGTGGAAGACGGAGCAACGCGCGAGTGTTTCCGCCTCATTTCCCTTCTGTGCTCTCTGCCAAGGAGAACAGTTTGAATTGGACAGAACAAAAAGGTGACTGGGCAGCAGCAAAGGATGCGATCAAGCAGCTCCCTCTATCTCGTGGACAAGATGGAAACACAATTCAATGCAGAGCCGGGTGAGCGGCCACATCCGAAGGTACACTGCAGAACGCCTGCAGCGGAGCGTCCCAGGAAGCAGCAACACATGTAATGCTGCCCTGAGTGAGGAGTGAGAGCTAATACAGCGGATGGCAGAGGCAGGATCCCAAAGGATCTCGACGGGCTAGGATCTGAGGCGATGAAGTCTGCGAAGGGCCAATGTCTGAAGCCCTGCTCCTGGGTTCAAACAAATCAGCTTTATGAGGACAAAATGGGGGTGGTGTGCTGAGCTCATCTGAAAAAGATCTGGGGGCCTTAGTGGACTGAGGCGTCCAGCGAGTCAAGAGGGTGATATGACGGCGGTCCCCAGAGCTGTTTCAAACGGCCATGCTGCCCAGGAAGAGGGAGAGGATAGATGCTGTGACCTCTGGGTCAAACCACACCTGCAGAGAGCACCGTGCTCAGCTCCGGGCACTGCGTTTTAGGAGCCCATCCTCAGGGGGCAACCAGGATGGCAGATCACACCAGCGGGCACTGCTGTGGGGACTCCACCAGCTCCACCAGGGAAGAAGCACAGCCTTCGTGGTGAACACGCCTCCTGACCTCAGCCCTCTGTCCGCCCCAGCCGTGTTCACCCGCTGCTCCTGGCTTCACCTTCTGGGGCCAAGCAGAGCAAGGCTGATCTCCCACCAGATGCCAGCCTGGACTTCCTCTACTTAATGGCAGCTGGACCCTGGGCCCTTGACCCTTCTCATCGGCCTCCTACCTGAAGAGGGAGGCCCAGACTGAACCTGCAGACGTGGTGGAAGATGTCGCCACCCCACAAACTCAGAAGGTGTCCCCCCCAAGCGCAGGTGTCCCAGGGCAATGGGAAGGCACGCTGCTGGGTGAAGGAGGCTGCAGCATCTTGCGGGGAAGATCGGCACACGAGCACCTGCATAAACAAAGGCATCGGGGATGTGTCAGGCCGAAAAAAAAGGCAGGCGTTGGCGGTGGCTTGGGAGGCCGGCCTGGGTCAACGCTTGGCTGATGGCCTGGCCCCGCAGGCCATGCATTTACGGAGGGAATCACAGTTGCCCCCTTTTCTATCAGCACTTTGCTCGAGACAACTCCAAGAGGTGGGCAGGCAGTGCACGAACCCTGACAGCCCTTCTACAGATGAGGAAACTGAGGCACAGAGGTAAAGGGACTTGCCTCCAAGAGGTGGGCAGGCAGTACATGAACTCTGATAGCCCTTCTACAGGTGAGGAAACTGAGGCATGGAGGTAAAGGGACTTGCCTCCAAGAGGTGGGCAGGCAGTTCACGAACCCTGACAGCCCTCCTACAGGTGAGGAAACTGAGGCACCGAGGTAAAGGGACTTGCCTCCAAGAGATGGGCAGGCAGTACATGAACTCTGATAGCCCTTCTACAAGTGAGGAAACTGAGGCAGAGAGGTAAAGGGACTTGCCTATGCTCACAGCTCATTCAAGGTCTGAGACAGGATTCCAACCCGGGCCTCCTGAAGATGGACCAGAGCTCCTCGTAAAGCACTGAGCTGAACCACAAACCTCCTTTCATGCACTCCACCCAGGTCAGGGCCCGGCATCCGGCGGTGCTCAGTGGACGCCCTAAGGGAGCGTCACTCCAACATCCCAACGGATCTTGTCTGGATGCACAAAGCATCTGACTCCGGAGGGCGCATCTGCAGGCCCTGCTGCAACTGCCACAAGAATGCGATCTGGAAAAGGCCTCAACCCTCCCCCGCCTCCAACCTGGCAGCAGCTAATTCTACTGCGCTGACCACACCAGCGGCCCGAGGTGTCCCGACTCCTCCAGGGCCACTTGGTCGGCCCATTCCTACTGCTGAACACAACGGAGAGATTTGAGGACCGTCAACAATCAATCGATGTGACGTGACCCAAAAGACGGAGGACCGGGCATCTTCCCTGACCCTCAGGATCTCTCACACCTCTCCAAAATAAGAACGATGTATAAGAGGGGAAGGAATTTCAGCTGTCCCCACAATCTGTAACACCAAGAACTCTATTGAGGTGAAAACCCGATGAACTAACAACTGCAGAAAAGGCTCCTCGCTAGCCCCACTTCCTGCCCCACCAGCCACCTCCACGCTCTGTCAGGACTGCACAAGCTGAACTCATCTCTGGGCCTCCCCCAGCCAGTCCTCAGCTACAGGACTGAAGACCGGTCCAGGGCAGCGGGGGCAGACTTCAGAGTGTGAGGCACCCACAGAGCTCC